GAAGAGGGGTGTGTCAGAGGGGTGTCTGAGTAGTCACCAGGAGCCTGAGAGAGAAGCAAGACGAACTTGCTGTACTGAAAAAAAGCTACCACCACATGGCAGAGCAGAAATAAGAGGCATGGGCTAATTTAAGGTGTTCGAGTTAGCCAGTAGCAACCCTGAGCTATCAGCCGAGCATTTTGGTTAATAAGAAGTCTCAGTGTGGCCGGGCGGTAGTGGCGCAGGCCTTTAATCCCAGCACTCGGGAGGAAAAGGCAGGCGGATCTCTGTGAGTTCGAGGCCGGGCTGGACCGACAGCTTCCAAAATAATACAGAGAAACCCTGTCTCCTAAAAGACCAAAAAAAAAAAAAAAAAAAAAAAAAAGAAAGAAAGAAATGGTGAGAGCCTGCACCGCTGGAAGCCTGGATCTGATTCTCAGCGCCCGGCAAGACCAGGTGTGGTGGCGCATGCCTGTGTTTCCAGCAGGCAGGGAGAGGCCAAGTGAGCTCTGTCTTGAAAAAAAAAAAAAAGAATTCTGCAAATGCCTGGCCCACAAAGAGGGGCTGACATGTTCCTCTTAGCTATGCACTCACCAGTAGTACTGGACACTGGTCTTTCGTCAAGTGAGTACTGAGTGATACAAAGAAACAAGCCAAGCCAAGACAGAAAAGGTTGCTAGGCAGCTTATAGCCATGAAGGACCATGTGGTTGCTCAGCCGTCAGCCCCGGTGTTGGTCGCCAGCGCTCAGGGCCCAGGGAGGTGACTCAGCTACGGAGCCCATTCTCCTCGGGGCCTCTCTAACCATGTGGGGCCATCTTGGTGATGGACGTTGAAATGGCGCGTCTCACCAGACCTGGTCCCGACACTCATCACAGGCCGTCACCGGGTCCTGGCATTAAGACCAATCAGGGTCCTTTTGCGTCCTGTAATGCAGTTGGGCTCCCTGTGTGCTTTGGGGGGGGGGGGGGGGGCGACGACATTTTGAGACAACTCGCAGAATGGTCCTGCTTGCCAGATAGACTTCCCATAAACTGGCATGCTGGTTAATTTTAACAGCTTGGAAGTTACATAAATGTCCAACAATAGAGAATCAGTTAAGAATAAAATTCATTATAGTGCCTAAGTATAATATAAGACTACGTAGCCACTAAAAAAAGAAGTTATCACTGGGTGTGGCGGCGCAGGCCCGTGATCCCAGCACTCAGGTGACTGGCACAAAAGAATGAAGAATGCAGGGCTAGCCTGGGCTGCAGAATGAGTTCCAGGACAGCTTGGGCTATGAGGTGAGACCTTTGTATTAAAAAAGAAAAAAGAAAGCTAGCCAGGCATGGTGGTGATGCAGGAGGCAGAGGCAGGAGGATCTCTCTGAGTTCGAGGCCAGCCTGGTCTACAGAGTGAGTTCCAGGTCAGCCTGGGCTACACGGAGAAACCCTGTGTCTAAAAACTTGAAAAAAAAAAAAGGATTAAAGTGAAGGAGTAGATATTGCCAAAAGAAGAAAATATCCCCCAACAGGAGCCACCTGGGGAAGGGTCACCACTGTGGCAGACCCTTGGGAGGCCGCGGGCCACACCGGAAGTAGGGATCTGGGGCAGAGCCAGCCTGCCTGCCCATCACCCTCAAGCCCCGCCCCCACACCCTGAGTTCAGGTGACCTCAGGAGATGGGGCCTCCTGGAGACAGTGAAAGCATGCAGCACGAGGCGATGCGGGGTCTGGGAAGACTCCAGCTCCAGACGCGGGGTCCAGGAGCCGAGCAGAGAGGAAGGAGCACACTTCTCATCGCGTGCAGCGGGTGCAGAGGGGCCTAAGGTCCAGACACGCACGTGTGTCCTGTGGTTTGCCTGCCATGCGATCTCCTGTGACCCGGTGTAGCCAAGGGTGGCCGTGAACTGCGTTTGGGCTCACCTCCACCTCCCAGGGTTGGGTGTGTCGTGACTTACAGAAACCGGGCCGGTAGAGAGGAGCTGAGGTGAGCGCGGTCAGGAAAGAGGCTCACGGCGGAGCACGGTGGAACATGCCTTTAACTCAAGACCCTGTCCCAAAAGGAAAAAAAAAACCCTTTCTAAGGTTGGTGACATGTCTGTGACCTCAAATCCCAGTATGTGCAGGAAGAGGCAGGAGGATAAGGAGTTCAAGGCCGTCCTTTCCACAGCAAGTTCAAGGCCAGCCCGTTGCCATATCATACCCCACTCTCTCAACACACACACACACACACACACACATATAATGTATGCATTTCTGTGGTAAAAAAGTAGTAACTCACCCTGTGATTGGTGTTCAAAGTTAGCCCGTGGGCTGACATATTAATTTTCTTGAACATCACCCATACATACCATTTACAAACTTAGCTGATTAAGTTCTTGTAAATATTTAAACTATGTTTACAACTTTAACATACTTGATTTTATTTTCCAAGTGCCAATTCCTCACAGGACAGATTTACAAGTCAAATGAGGAAAACGTTTTAGGCGCATAAAGCATTCTCAAGGAATTTTAACGTTCAGTGTTTACTTTATTTATATACTTATTTATGTGTGGGGTGCACATCTGTAAGTCCGAGGACAACTTCCCAGAATCCTGTGTGTCCCATGGGTGGGTCTCAGGGCATCACGCCCTCCAGCAGACGCTTTTACCCGGCTGGCCCTATTTTTTTAGTGTGTGTGTGTGTGTGTGTGTGTGTGCGCGCGCGCGCGTGCGTGCACTTGGGTGCAGATAGATGCCCGTGGAGGCCAGAGAGGAGCTGGAACTATAGGCAGTTGTAGCCTGAAGTAGGTGGTGGGGACTGAGCTCAAGTCCTTCTCCCCCCCTCCCAGAGCAGTCGCCGCTCATAACTGCTGGGCCATCTGTCCAGCCGCGACCTTTAGTTGTTTTTTTGAAACAGGTGTCTCCCTGACCAGTATTGGTATCACACTTTGCCTTTCCAGCCCTGGGGTTGGGATCCTCCACATCTGAAGTGTGTACTGGGGTTAGGTGGCTATGGCAGAAACTGAGTAGTTTGGGGGAAGGAAAGGATTTTGATTTTTTTTTTTTGTCAGTTAAACGGTTTGGATAGACACCTACTGATTTCATTTTGTTTTATTTGAGACGGGGTCTCCACGTAGCTCAGGCTGACCTCCACCTCGCTACGTAGCCTCCTGAAATCCAGATGCCTCTGGTGCAAACAAGAGACGGTTTCAGGAGACCCACGGATGTTGAAGCGTGGGAGTACGTGCTCTGGATTTAATCGCAGCACCCGCAGGGTCCATCTGCACCTCGCAGCCTCTCAGCCTCCTGCTGTGCGCCTCTCCTAACTTCTGGGCCCCTGGTTTGGGCGGCGCCGGGAAGCACCTGGGAGCGAGCGAGGTTTGGGGGAGGGGGGATTCGTCTTGTTAGGCGTGGAGGGGGACAGAGAAGCCAAAGCCCCAAACCTGGTGCCCACTTTGCTTGCAGATGAAAATTACCGCCTCCTTGCCTTGGTTTCCAAACCAGAGAACGTCTAGAAAAAAATTTAGTTTCCCGGGCCCCACCCACAAAGGGGCACGCAGGCGCGTGTGAAGCTGCGACGGCCATCTTGGACTCGGGCAGCACCTTCGCTTTTGGGCTGTAGCTTCCAGCGGGAGGACCAGAGATACAGAGATACGTTCTGTCCACCTAGATCCGTGGCGGGCGTGTGCTCGCGAGGGCCAGCGACCCTCTCCTCCTGCCTCCAGGTAAAACCTTGAACCAGTAACCTCGTGGTCGTTGCTACCCAGTAAAAAGGCGCCTGCCTCCCTGGAAGGTGGGAGTCTAGCGCACCGCCCATTGCACAGTGCTCCAGTAGCAAAAAGAGGTTCTCAGCACACGCGGGGGCTCTGAGCTTGGCGCGGCGGTTGCCAACACTCTTTCGGCCTCCCGCACCCGTGGGCGCACTCAGGGCGATGGGAAGGGCGGGAGGGCTCAGAGAGCCAACCCAGGCCAGGGAAAAGTGCGTCTTCCCAGGGCCCCCTGGACCGACACGTGGTGCGACCAGCTGGGGAGGGTGTGGGGAACACAAACCAGGGTGCCCAGGACTGAAGGCAAAAAGAATCTTTGTGCATTTCGGAACATTTCGACGCCCCCGGCTTGTTATTTATATCCCCCCTGGCTGCCTCTCTGCAGGGGCTCCCGTGCAGCAGCATCAAAGCTAGCTTCAAAAAAAAAAAAAAAAAAGGGGGCCGTGTGTGTGTGTGTGTGTGTGTGTGTGTGTGTGACGGGGGAGATGGAACATTATGTCCCAGGCAGAGCTGTGTGAAAAAGGACCTTTCCGGCTGCTGTGGGCTGTGAGTCCTATAGAGAATGGCCTGCGGAGCCCTCAGTGGAGCGCCCGCCCTTCAGCTCCCCACCCGAGGGGTCCCTGACTTTCCTTGTGCGGGAATGCAAAGGGGCCGTAAGATGGCTCAGTGGGTAGAGAGGCCTGACAACCTCAGTTTGGTTTCCAGGCCCCAAAGGGTCAAGGGGAGAGCTGATTTCAGCTCAGGGTTATCTGACTTGCGTGTGCATGTGCATGCGTGTGCGTGCACGAGTGTGTGTGTGTGTGTGCGTGCGCGTGTAGCACATGTGCCTGCTGATTTCAGCTCAGGGTTATGACTTGCGTGTGCGTGCACGCGTGTGCATGTGTGTGCGCGTGTAGCACATGTGCCCGCTGATTTCAGCTCAGGGTTATCTGACTTCCGTGTGCATGCACGAGTGTGTGTGTGTGCGCGTGTAGCACATGTGCCTGCTGATTTCAGCTCAGGGTTATCTGACTTGCGTGTGCATGTGTGTGCGCGTGTAGCACGTGTGCCCCATTGTACACACACAGAAGAAAAACTACGAGAGTAAGGGCTGAGAGCCTGTGGGGACGTCACAAAGGGCTGGCTGGGGTTTGCTCCGATGCTCCAGCCATGTGCAGCCCCATACCCAGGGTTGTGGAATCTCAGTATAAGGACTTACGTAGTATGGAGTCAGAATCACACCAGTTGGTCCAGCTTCCCACGATCCAGCACAGGGGAGGTAGCAGAGGGTAACAATGCCAGGTGGGGTGTTGGGGGGATTGCACAGTTTATTTCCAGACACAGTCAGAGGGTGAGGTGGGGGACCCGTCTGCCTCCCCTTTCTGCATTTGGCTTCATCGAGAGTTTTTCTCTCCCCTTACCCCTACGTTGTGCAACTCATGAGACCCCCTCCCCCCACCCCACCCAAGGAAGGTCTAGGCAGACGAGGAGGAGCGTGGGTGATGGTGTGGTTCAAGTATTCACAGGTCCGGGGGTCACACTGCACCCAGATCCATGATTGCTCCTGCTGGTGTGGTTCTTCAGCGTGGACACCTTCAAATGAGCGCTCACCCCTTCCCCTGTCATAATGACTGAGCCCGAGGCTCCGCAATCAGTCAGGGTCTCCCCGGGAGGCGGGCTCCCCTGAGGGCTCCGGGGAGAAGGTGAGGGGCTCCCCGACCCACTAGGTTGGGAGCAGTGGTCCTTGGGTCAGGGAGGGCGGGTGAAAACTCGGAGGGTGCCAGGGAAGGACGCAGGTTTGGAGGGCCTTGATGAACACGTTCAGACAGCTGTGGTCTGAACTCTCATCTCCACCCTCGCTCTGGGCACAGAATCCCTGAGAGTCCAGCCACAAAGGCAAAATGGAATGGGGGAGGGGGTGGGAGGGGAAGAGGAGAGTGAGGGATGGAACTGTGGAATAAAAAATGGGGTGTGTGTGACTGAGCAGGTCTTACAGGGAGCCCTGTTCCTGGGAGCCAGCGCTGGGAGGACCAGGTCTGGGCTCAAGTCCCCTGTCTCCAGTTCTGACCTTCCAAAGTAGCAGGAGGTCTGGGAACACAGGTTAGAACCACTGGTCCCCAGGCCCTCCATATTCTGACTTTGGGCACCATGGAAGAAAAGTGTTGGGGGGCTGCCTCAAAGGGTAGTACAAAAAGCAAAAACCGTTAAAAACTTCCTGGGAAGTAGTGCCCAGCCTCTTGTCCCTCCGAGGCATCGGTTAGCCCTGCTCAGACAGGACAGGGCCGGCAGCACCATGCATCGCTGGGGTATCCGTGCCTCCTCGATGCCCCCTGGGCAGTGGCTCCTCAGAGCAGGGGAGACTGTTTGCTGATTGGAGGAAGGAGAGGACGGTTGCAGGGAGAGGGGGAGAAGCGTAGGTGGGGCTCCAAGGGGCTCCCCGGGAGTCAGGATCTGAAGAACTTGTGTACCACGTACTGGCCCAACAGAACCACACCGAGAATTGTCACCACACTCAGGATGGGGTCTCTACGCAGATTCAGGGCTGCCACCTGTCGGGAGCAAACGGGTGGGTTAGTGGCTCGCACCTTTAGTCCCAGCGCTCGGGAGGCAGAGGCAGGCGGATCTCTGTGAGCTCGAGGCCAGCCTGGTCTACAGAGTGAGTTCCAGGACAGCCTCCAAAGCCACAGAGAAACCCTGTCTCGAATAAAACCAAAACCAAACCAAAACAACAAAAGGGGTTGGTTGGGTGGGGTGGGGTTACAGAGTGGCCAGGCAGCAGGAGGATGTCCCAACCTCAGGTACTCACCCAGCCGCCTCTCTGTGCGATCCACCTGGCGATATAATGGTGCAGTATGATATCAGCCAAAAAGCAGGTCACCTGGCCCAGGAAGCCGGTCAAGCCACGCTGGTAGACGTACAGGGCCAGGCGGTAGCCAAAGCCCAGGAGAGCCACCACACGGCCCCAGCTGATGCCACTCTTAAATAGGCTGTGGGCAAAGGGGTCCGCAGATCACGCAGAGCCCGCCTTGGGGGGGCCGGTCCCTCTGCTTCCTCTGGAGCCCTGATTCTCCCCCACCCCACCCCCACCACCCCAGGCTGGGAAGCTGAGTGGTTGAGCTGCCAGTCCAGGTCAGAAAGTCTGCCTTGGCCTGGCCGCCAGCCAGGGAGAGCCTGGGTGTCACAGCGTGAAAGGAAGCGAGGGGCGGACGGGCTGACGGCTGCTGGTATGGAGGACCCAGAGAGGGGAGAGCGGGCAGACGGGAGGCAGCGACATTACCTGTGAAAGCCGCTACTGGCCTGGCAGCCCGAGGGACAGCAGAGAGAAAAGGACAGAAGAGATTAGGAGAGATCCCAAACTCAGGGGCGCAGAGTGGGGGGGGGGGAGCGTGCCGAGGGCAGGGGCAGGACGTGTCAACTCTGAGCACCCAGCCTGAACCTGTCACCGGCTTCTGCCTCTGCCGCCTCCTCGGCATCTAACCAACCCCGACTCCCTCCCTCAGGGAGGACAATGTGCCTGCGATCCTAGCACTTGGGAAGCTGAGGCAGGAGGATCCAGAGTTCAATCCCCCCTGGGTTACCCGAGACCCTATCTCAGAAACAAGGGGCTGGAGAGGTTGCTCCTGGGTTAGGGGTACTGACTGCCCTCCCAGAGGATCTGGGTTCAATTCCCAGCACCTTCATGTGGGCTCACAACTGTGACTGTGGCTACAGAGGCCTTTTTTTTTCCTGGCCTCTTTGGCATCAGATGGGCAAATGATGCACACACATAAATGTGGAAAAAACACCCATGTGCCTGAAATAAAAGTCAAGCTGGGCGGTGGTGGCGCACGCCTGTGATCCCAGCGCTTGGGAGGCGGAGGCAGCTCCGTGTGTACCGGGAGAGTTTCAGGACAGCCAGGGCTGTACAGAGAAACCATGTCTCAAAAAAACAAAACAAACACAAAAAGGTCACAAACAGCAACAAAGATCAAACCATCCTCGGTGTGGTTTTGAAAGTGGGAACACTGACTTGGGTTATTGCCCTATTTCTCGGGAGCTTTCACGGTGGTGGCCAGTGGCAAGCTGGCTGGCAGCACCAAGTGGCCTCTTGGGTGCCACTGAGTCACAATTGGCCTGACACAAGGTGGTGGCCCAGCCACTTTGGTATGTCCCAGCTGGACGGCGAGGCTCTTGGGAACATCCCCACCCCCGGGGGCTAGCTGTCGGTGCCAGCGCTCCTAAGAGATGTGAGCTTGCGTGCAGAAGACATTGAGCGGGCCCAGAGGGGGGGACCGGGGGGGGGGGATCGTGTCTGAGTTCACCGACACTGTTCCCAGCCAGGGAACCCATCACATGTGTGTGGGGGGGGTAGGGATGGGTACCTGGAAGCGATCTTGGTGAAGAGCTCGTAGGCATTCCCCGCTGTGGGCTGCAGCTGCTCCAGTAAGTTCTGGAACTCTGTGTCGTATCTCCGGTTAATGTCGTCTCCAATGATAGCAAGCTGCCGACCCACTTGACCCAAGACGCTGTAGGAACGAGAGTCGGAGATTGGGAAGTTAGCAACCGGGTACCAGGCTCGTGGCGCAGAATGGATTCTCCTGGGGTGGGGGTCGGAAGACTTTGCCTCTCTGAAGGGTCCTGGACAGTGTTTGTGGACAGGCGGAGGGCTGTGCTAAGGACTGGACAGGCATGTCCAGAAAGGAGTATAGGGTTGCAGATGGGGGCGAGAAACCAGGCTGAGGAGAAGGGAGAGAGAGAGAAGAGAGACAAGAGCCCAGGCCCCCCCCCCCAGGACCTGTCCCCCAGGCCTGGGGCTTACCTGTTGGGTTCTAGGAGCAAGTTGTCCATCTCGGGGTTGGCAGAGGCAGCCGCCCCCTGGGTCTCTTGCTCCTGCTGGTGGAGGTGAAAAACATAGCTTCGAAAGACCTCCTCTGTGTCCTGGGCGACCTGCTGTTCTGGGGGCAGAGCTGGGAGTCAGCAAGAGAAGGCTGTCTGCCCCGGCATCCCCCTTTCAGTGCTCAGGCTTCCTCCAGCCCCTTCGTGGACACACAGCACTCCCCGCGTTCTGCCCCTGTGACCGTTTCTCATGATAGTCCTGGCATGTGCGCCCCGGTCTACAGATGGAGAAACTGAGGCACACGTGGCCGAGCCGTGTACCCAGGGTCATGTAGCTGGAGGGTCAGGGTTGTTCATCTTGGTGGTCAAGTCAATGAGTCTGGGATCAACTAAATCACCTCAGGGTAGGTCTGAAGGTGTTTCCCAGGAAGGACTGAGCGGAGAGGGCCTTCTCCACAGTGAGGTCACCTTCCTGTGGCAGTACCACTTCCTGCCCTCCCCTGCCCTCCCCCCCAGCCTGGTTCCCACTCCTTAAGAGTGAAGGAAACGAAACTGAATCTGGAGCTTCAGGCCGGCCGGTCGAAGGGGAATGGTTTCTGTCTTCAGTTTTTGAGACGAGGTCTTGCTATGTAGCCCTGGCTGTCCTGGAACTTGCTCTTGTAGACCAGGCTGGCCTCAAACAGAGATCCACCTTCCCCTGCCTCCCGAGTGCTGGGACTAAAGGCGCACGCCACCTCTCAGCGCTGGGATTGGCGTTTTCAGCCTGAGAGGGTCTCACTCTGACTGACTCTAGCCAGGCTGACCTGGAGTTCATTCTGTAGGACAAACTGACCTAAAACAGCGGGTGAATCCTGTCTCAAGGGCTGGGGTTGCAGACCTGGGATAGGAACCCCAAGTCCAGGGACCAGCCTGACCTCCCTGCCCATCCCCTTGAGAAAAGCAGGAAGGGCAGCCATCTCACTCCCTCCCCTCCCCTGTTCATGGCTTGCCAGAGAAAAGACAGGACCCTTCCTCCTTTCTCACACTCCAGGGACACAGCAGCCAGCCCAGCTCCGCCCCGCCCTCCCCTGCCCCGCCCTCCCCCACCGCCTCCTGCCTTCCCTGTGCCCGGAGAAACCTCTCACCCTGCACACCAGTCCCATGCCCTTCTCCCTCTTGTACTTATGGGATGGTGAGGGGCGGGAGGACCCTTACCAGAAGGGGAGGGGGAGTCATCACAGTCCTCCCTAGGAGGGCCTGGTCCTTGTCCAGATGCCATCTTTCAGGTCTTGGTGGACAGCACTGTCACCCTGGGGAGGCAGGTGAGGAAAAACGCAGAGATGACGCTGGGCATGGCGGCACGCCTTTAATCCCAGCGCTCGGGAGGCAGAGGCAGGCGGGTCTCTGTGAGTTCGAGGCCAGCCTGGTCTACAGAGCGAGTTCCAGGACAGCCAGGGCTACACAGAGAAACCTTGTCTCAAGAAAAAAGAAAGGTAAGAGGATGAGCAGAGATGAGAGCAGGGACACCTGGCTGGAGACCCCAGAGAGGTCGCTCTGACAGGAGTGAGGGGACCCTGCTCCCCCACAGCCAGGAAGACTTTGCAATCCTCTGGGGGCCTGGGTATCTCCTGGGAGCTATGGGAACCCACAAGAGTGGTTGAGGAAGTCAGGCAGAGACCAGGTGAGGTCGAGGCCTCCGCCAGGCTGCGGCGCACACACGGCCTTGCCACGAGACCTCTCGATTCCCTTGACAGTGACTCCTAGTCAGGGTGAAGCCGCTTTGACAGACCAGGGGAGCTTCCTGCTGTTTCTGATGCTTCCACCCCCTCTCCTCAGCCTGCCAACTCCCAACCATGGAGGCCTTCCTCCAGAGTCAACTTCCCCGTGGCTGGTGGGGCACACTTGCTTTCCGAGAGGGCCTGGCAGCATGCTCTAAGAGTCTGTCACACACCCCTAACACTCAGGAGAATTCTGCTGTGTCCTGTGTCCAAAATTCCCATTACTGACCGGTTGTGGTGCACCATGCTTTGATGCTAGGGAGACAGTGAGTTTGAGGCCAGTCTGGTTTGCATATGAAGTCCCAGACTAGCCAAGGCAACATCGTGAGATCCGGTCTCAAAAAATGAGTGAGAGAGAGAGAGAGAGAGAGAGAGAGAGAGAGAGAGAGAGAGAGAGAGAGAGAGAGAGAGAGAGAGAGAGAGAGAAGAAAGAATGAACAAAAGACAGACAGACAGACTCCCATGACACAGGGGCAGCTAGCACCCTTGCATCTGTTTCACAGGTTGAGAAAATCAGGGCAGAAAGAAATGCGTACCTGGGCCACAGGTCAGAGAAAGACATTCGTCTTGCAGAGTTTTGTTTTTGGAGACTGGATTTCTCTGTGCAGCCCTGGCTGTCCCGGAACTCACTGTGTAGACCAGGCTGGCCTTGAACTCACAGAGATCCGCCTGCCTCTGCCTCCCGAGGACTGGGATTACAGGCGTGTGCCACCACCGCCCACCACCAGCTTTTGTTTTGTTCTTTTTTTAACATGCATTTATATATTTTTTCATGCGTATGTGTGTCATGAAATATACGTGTAGGTCAGAGAACAAGTTTCAGGACTCTCTCCTTCCACCGTGTGGGTTCCAGGGATAGAACCTGGGTTGGCGCACTTGGCAGCAAGCCCCTCCCTCACCCGCTGAGCTGTCTCCATGACCCAGATTTTTTTTTATTGGGACAGAATCTCATGCAGCCCACCCTGACCTCAAACTGCATATGGGACAGAGGATGACCCCCCTGCCTGCACTGTCTGAGTGCCGGGGTTAGGGGTGTGTGGGGATCAAACCCAGGACTCTGTGCGCCGGACGTGCATTTTACCAACTAAGCTACATCTCAGCACTTATTTCGTGGCTTGTTCCCAGGGTGTCCCTCCTTCCGATTACCACCTACCTAGATGTGAGCTGGGACTTCTCACCACGCCACCAGCCTGCCTCACACACTACACCCCTGCGCTGTGGGACCTCCGTATAGCCCAGCCTGCCTCACCCCTCGCCACACCCCTGCACTGTGGGACCTCTTATACCCTCCCCAGCCTGCCTCACCCCTCGCCACACCCCTACACTCTGGGACCTCTTATACCCTCCCCAGCCTGCCTCACCCCTCGCCACACCCCTACACTTCGGTGCTGATCCCGTTTTCTTTTGGCTGTTGGCTTATTTAAAAACCTGTTTTAGGTTCTCACTGGACAGGGAGGTCCTGTGCCCTTTGACCCTCCTGCCTCAGACGCAGGTGTGTGCCGGTGCTGTCGGTGCCCTCTGGCGTGCCGCACCCAAGCCCGCTTCCCTCTCTGAGCAGTCGGCAGTTACTTCCTGAGGCCAGCAAACCCTTCCACTTTCAGTTTGCCCCCTGGCGAGAGTCCACTCCTTCCTGAGCCACCTCCATCACTTGAGGAGGCGACCCACCTGTCAGTGCAGAGGACGCAGACCCACCCAGGGGACAAGCGCCGCCGCCGGTAGCCCCTACCTGCCTGGGCTGAGCACCACACTCACCGTCGTCGTTCTGGGGCTGGGGACTGCTTCCGAGTCACTCTCTGGGAAGGGGTGGGGGAGGCTGGCTGCCCTGCGCACCTTCCCCACGGCGCCGGAGTCGGGGAGCAGACCCTCTCCTCCTCTCTGACAGCCAGCCCCCCTCGCCCCCCGTTAAGACGGCCCTCTGCTTGGCACGGTCCACCAGAAGCCCCTTCCGGGATAGGGGGCTCTTCCTGCTGCCCTGGCTCTTAAAACTTGGTAATCCCAGGCCGGCAGGGCCAGGGGATGCCAACTCCATGCCCAGAAAACTACCCTGGAGGCTCACTGTTGGGAGCAGATGGAGGGTCTCAGAACGGCCTCCACAGCCTGCTGGCCTGGGCCACCTGGCCCCCATCCAAGTGACCTGGTGACTTCCCATCCTCTCCCTGAGGCCGTGGTGTGTGTTCCCCACCACCATCCGCTAGGCTGTACCTAGAACCGGTCTGGGGGTCCTGGGACAGCAAGGGGGATCGACTGTGACATGTCTACCCTTGACCTTCACCCTCCCCTCCACAGGAAACGAAAGTCCCACTTGCCTGCCATCCAGGACCACCAAAGCCTGGGCAAGAAGGGAGGCTTTTTTGGCGTTTAGCTGGAGGTGGCCCTGTTTGGATCAGACCTCCAGCATGGCTTTAAGGACCACCCAGGGGAACTTCAAGGGTTCCCTCCTCAGCTGGTTCCCCCACGGGGCTTTCTGCCCCACCCTGGGCCCGAGCTGCCAGGATTATGAGGATGGGGTTTGGCACTTGGCCCCCAGCGTACCTGCCCGGCTGTGGTCCAGATGTGGAATGGCTCCCAGGGTGAAGACAGAGATCCCGAGGGCGCAGGTGGCTGGTCCCAGGGCCAAGGGCTCAGGCCTGACCGGGAGGAACCGGCATCATGAATCCATGGAGTCTGGGAGCCGCCTCGGGTTGCCTCTTGGCCCAGGAAACCTCGCGACTTTGTGACCATAGAGGAGCCTGCTGCTCCCGGCAGTGATCAGCTCCCTCTAGAGGAAGTCGCTCGGTGGCCGCCGGATGCAGATGGACTGGGGACGCGGCTGCTTGGAGGAAGGTCCTGTGGGCCAGGTCTGGAAGCCGCTGGTCTGCAGCCTCCGTGCCAGCCCCGTCCCAGCCAGGTGGGGGAAACCTCCTCTCCTCCCCAACTCTGATTCAGGCCCTCAGCTTCCATCTTCTTCCTCTGGTGGAAAACAAACACAGACAACAACAAAAACCAGGACGGGGCTGGGGGGTGGTGATGCTGGAGGACCAGGAAATGGAGGCCAGCCTGCGCTACACCCTAAAGAAAGGGAGAGCGGGACAGACTCAGGAAATGGAGGCCAGCCTGCACTACACCCTAAAAAAAGGGAGAGCGGGACAGACTCAGGAAATGGAGGCCAGCCTGCGCTACACCCTAAAAAAAGGGAGAGCGGGACAGACTCAGGAAATGGAGGCCAGCCTGCGCTACACCCTAAAGAAAGGGAGAGGGGGACAGACTCTACGTGTGCTGTCATCTAGACCCTGCCAGGCTTCGGGGACCAGCAGAAGAAACCAGAGACAGGAGTGTGGGGTCCTGTTCTCAGGGTCTGTCCTCTCCCAGCCTCCCTGACCGCCCTCAGCCAGCCAGGCCTCCTCAGCCTCTCAGTCTCCACAGCCTCTCAGCCTCTCAGCCTCCCTCAGCCTCCTCAGCCTCTCAGCCTCCTCAGCCTCCCTCAGCCTCCACAGCCTCCACAGCCTCTCAGCCTCTCAGCCTCCACAGCCTCCACAGCCTCCTCAGCCTCCTCAGCCTCCCTCAGCCTCTCAGCCTCCCTCAGCCTCCTCAGCCTCTCAGCCTCCCTCAGCCTCCTCAGCCTCCTCAGCCTCTCAGCCTCTCAGCCTCCACAGCCAGCCAGGCCTCCACAGCCTCTCAGCCTCCACAGCCTCTGAGCCTCCCTCAGCCTCGACGTGCCCCCGGCGCCGGCTGGACCTGACGCCCGCTGGCTCTCTGTACCCCTCTCCTTCCAGCCCACCCCTCCCACACTCCAGTTATTCTCCTCCCCACCCCCACCCCTTCCGTGCCTTCTAGAACTCCTAGAAGTTCCCAACTGGAGGTTTCCATTAGCAGTTGGTCCTGGGCTGGCCTGCCATGACTTCTCCCTGAGTCGGGGTCCCTCTCAGGATGGCAGCCCAGGCTCGGACCCCACGGTCAAGGTCACGAATCTTGGGCTGCTCCTCTGTGTTCCGCTTTCTCCGAAACCTGGTGGGGAGCAAGAGTGTTTCTAACAAGTCCCTGACCAGGAGCCGCCGGCCCAGCCCCACCCAGGAGCAGGATGGTGTCCCCCCAAGGGTGGGCCGCAAGGGAGGCCGTGGGAGGAGGGAGCCACAGCTAAAGGCCGCGGTCCCCAAGGTCCTCTCTGCGGCCCCCTCAAACCTGCCGCCGCATGACGCCTTCGGGCTGGGCACCGGGGACATGGGATCCCAGACTCTCACCTCCAAGGACGCCCTGAAGCTGAGGGCCCAGGGTGTAGAGGCGTCATCAGTCCCGGCCAGAGAAACCACGGAGGCTCTGGGCCACCTGTCTGAGAAGAAAGGAAAGGAGGAAGAGCCAGCAGGGGCGGCCTCAGGGGCCTCAGACAGGTGAGGGGCTGTGCCTGGGAAGGGGAAGGCACCATCCAGGCAGAGCAGGATACAGGCCGGAGGCCATGAGTGGGAGCCGTGGGTGAAGGGCTGGGCCCAAGGGGTCCTGTCATGACTGAGGGGTAGTTGCCGACGGAAGGAGGGAGGGGCCAGCCGATGACGGTGTGGGAGGGGAGGCTGGAGTGTGTGGGTTGAGCACCAAAGATGGAAGAGGGAGCTGGGGTGTGGCTCACAGGCGGAGCACTGCCTGCTTCGGGCCCTGGGATTGGTCCCCAGCACAACAGAACAATAACACCCAGGCACCGGTGACGCACGCCTTTAACCCCAGCACTCGGGAGGCAGAGGCAGGAGGAGCTCTGAGTTTGAAGCCTGCCTGGTCCACAGAGCGAGTTCCAGGACAGCCAGGACCACACAGCGACACCCTGTCTTGAAAAACCAAATAACAAAAACAAAACAGAGTAATAAGAGAGATGACAAAGGGTTGTCCCCGAGGCTGGGCCTCTGCTCTCTGCTGCTCTGTAGCCATGCTTCCAGCCCGCCCGCCCGCCCGCTCTCCCTTCCTGCCCCCCCCCCCTGTGGAGGGCACCCAGCTCCCCGCTTCCTACCTCTCTCGGGTAGGAAAGCCCCTCTGATAGAGACCTCCAGGAAGAGAGCCGGGCCCGGGGAGAGAGGAGGGCACACCAAGCAGGTCTTGGAGAGACCCAAGGTGGACTGAGCTTGGCCGCATCTCCGGGTGTCCCCTGCCTTGACCTGTCTGCTTTGGGATTAGGGAACACTTCGCCCAGGCCCTGGAGGCGGAACACGGGTCCCTGCAGTGGGTCCCAGGACCACTGGCACTCACGCCTGCGGCCTGCGTCAAAGAGGAAGAGGAGGGGCACTGCCTAGTTGAGATTGGTAAGTGTGATGGGGGGGGGGATGGAATCCTCTCCTCTGGGACCTCCCGGGTGGGGAGCCCAGCAGTCTGAGCTTTGAACCCCGCGGCACCCATGCCGAGTCACATGGCAGCGCTGCGTCTCTCTGTCCCGCGTGCCCCTGCGGCGTCTGTCAGACGGGAGTCAAGCAGCACCTGTCTCTGAGGCGCGTGGCAAGCATCCGTGAGACGCTCTTTGTCACGGGCTAGATCACAGCAGGCGTCCAAAGTGAGACAGGGCAGAGCCCAGGTGCGGCGACTCCTTCGGCCCCTGGCTTGGAGGCAAGAGAACTGCCCCGAGTTCAAGGTCTGCCCCGGCTTCCTGGTGACGCGCCTCTCCCAACAAGAAAAAGCAGCCGCAAAGCTAGACGTAGTGGTCCACACTTGGAACCCCAGGAGGGCGGAGTCAGGGAGGCCGGGAGTTGAAGGCCAGCCTGGGCTGCGTAGCAGAGTCGCCATGTCGAGAACACAGAAGAAAACTAAACCCACCAGGAGTGATGTGGCGAGGGGACAGTGGGGGGGGGGGGTCTTTAGGTAAAGGAGGCTGCGGCCAAGCTTGAGGGCCTGAGTTTGGCTCCCGGGACTCCCTTGGTAGAAGGCGAGAACAGATTCATACAAGTTGTCCTCCGATCCCTGTACACATGCCATGCTGTGCGGCCCCCCCCCATAAAGAAAAACGTAATTTAAAAACGTAATTAAACGTAAGAAAGAGAAACCAGAAGAGAGGGTGACCCCATCCTGAGCGCCACCCCCAGGACTGGCACTCCCCAATCTGCTGCCAGCCTCAGTGACCGGCGCTTCACAGGAGACCTCCGGGTGGCCTCTTGCAAGGCAGAGTCCACGCCGTGGAACTATCTCCTCGGCTTGTACAAGCACCTGCAAAAGTCGGCCATGACCAAGGTGAGTGTGGCCGGGTCCCAGGGGCCTCCGGCTTGCCGGGTGGGTGTGGCCAGGTCCCCCCAGCCCCCCCCCCGCTTGCCGGGTGAGTGTGGCCGGGTCCCGGGGGCCCCCCGCTTGCCAGGTGAGTGTGGCCGGGTCCCCCCCAGCCCCCCCCCCGCTTGCCGGGTGGGTGTGGCCGGGTCCTGGGGCCCCCCGCTTGCCGAGGGGGGAGACCCTCCCTCTTGCTCTCTTGGGGACCATCCCCTCCTGTCTCCTGGTTTGGGGAGGAAGGGGGCGCGGCCTGGAGTCTTGACCCCCTTCACAGGTTCAGACACCAGGTGTACCTCAGTTTCCCCTCAAGGATGGCTTGCCCCAGGAGGAGAAAGGGGAGAGGGAAGAAGCAGAGGAGGACAGCCACCTCAAGTTGTGTGCCCCACATGTCGCCACCTTCCAGTGTCCGCTGCAGAAGACTTTTAGGTCCACAGACACAGTGGGTAAGAGTGTCAGCCCCACCTTGCCAGGTCAGAGAATCTGGCTTCAGCCGGTGGTGGTGGTGGTGGTGGTGAGGGTTCAGAGAGGAAACACAAGCCTTGACCACATGGTGGCAGCAGAGGACCAACAGTGACTGCCTTAAATGTTGGTTGTCCTCCAGGCCTAGCTAGGGTCCACGGGGACCGCTCGAGCACGTGCGCGCGCACACACACACACACACACAGTTCCTGCCTGGGGGAGGGCACCTCCAAGCCTGGTTCCTGCTGAGCCACCCCATAGCCGCCTCGGCGAAGCATCAGACAGTAGCAGTTGGTTCGGTGGCAGTAACACGGAACGGTGGCTCATGGGTAAGACGGCTGGTTGCTCTCGCGGAGGACCCCGGTTCGGTTCCCAGCACCCATGCTGGGCGGCTCACAGCCTCCAGTGACTTCAGCTCCAGGGGATCCAGCACCCTCTTCCGGCCTCCACAGATACACACATCAAAACTCAAAAGCTAAAAACAGCAATAGCCACAATACCCTCAAGGTGTTAGGTGTATTTACACAGTCACTACTGGGGCCATTCTTTAAAAACTCAAACTGATGCCTCCACCAAAGGCAGAGGTTCAGCAACTCGCCCAAATCACACAGCTGCTAATGACGGAGCTGGGACTTCACTTCGGGCAGCTGGGGCTGTTGGTGGCAACATTTTTCCCCGGCAAGCCCCGCCCAGGAGCAGCCTCCCACTCTCAGGGCAGGAGGAACCCAGGGGTGTGGGAGAGGCTGTGTCTGGCCGGCCGGCTCCCAGGTACCTGAAGGCTTTGCAGCAGCTGGTCCCCACCACAGAGCCAGCCAGGAAGAGGGCGGGGCGGGCATGCAGTGGGGATTTCCTGGGCTCTGCCTGCTCCACGCGGGGAGAATGCAGGGTTCACAAACCCCATTTCTGCTACACACTAAGTCACGTCAAATGTGCGATTGCAGCCGGGCGGTGGTGGCGCACGCCTTTAATCCCAGCACTCGGGAGGCAGAGGCAGACGGATCTCTGTGAGTTCGAGGCCGGGCTGGACCGATAGCCTCCGAAACAATACAGAGAAACCCTGTCTCGAAAAAACCAAAAAAAAAAAAAAAAGTGCGATCACCTCACACACACACGGTCAGCCAGCAACGCAGAATCCTTGGGGGTTGCCAGCACCCTCCAGTTCCGTTCAGCCCCGAAGACCCAATTTCCTGGAGATGGCACCAGGTGCCCGCTGGCTGAGGGTACAAGCACACCGCCCCAAGCCCCGGTCACTCAACCCGTGTTTCTGACCATCCATCGGGGTTCTGCGACCCCCGCTGCTCACGTTCAGACCACTAGCTTGAGCATCTCACGGAATTTAGGTTTGAGGGATTTGTTTTTATTGTTTCCGGCATTCTCACAAAGTTGTCTAGTTAGTCTTGAACGTGTGATCCTCCCGCCTCGACTTCTTGAGCTGAAAGTCCCAGCGGTGTTCAGTCCCAGTCTTTGCCGGGGACTTAACCTCCCCCTCCCTCCCTGCAGCTGCTCACAGAGGAGCAGGAGCGGACTGCTGTGAGCATTACAGGAAACCTGGTGTTTGAGGGGGTGCCGGTGCTGGGGGAGCTGGGGGGGGGAGTGCTGGTGCGAGGAGCAGCAATCAGACGCCTGTCCTCAGCACTCAGCCCATCTCTTTGCCTCAAAGGCTTCGTGGAGTCGGAGCTGAAGAAGATTCTGGCAGTGAGAAGAGAGTCTCGCCTCTGGAAGGTGGGCAGCCCGGAAGGCCGGGAGTTACTGACCCAGCCGGACATCACGCTGGAGGAGGCGGGCATGGTGGACGGCCAGGTACGCCTGGGCATCCATCCAATCCACTGACTCATACGTGTGGGGTTGCCGTCCCTTAGCTCACATGGCCCTGGCCCCTGGTTGTAGCCGCCAATGCCTGGACTCTTCTAGGGGACGGTCTGAGATACTACCCTCTTTCTGGGAGTAGTGTACACACACACACACACACACACACACAAATGCACACACACACACACAAATGCACACATACACACCTCAACAGTCCTCACCTGAACCAGTATTGTCACTGTTTTGCTTGTGTGTGTGTGTGTGTGTTGAGACAAGGTCTCCTGTAGCCCAGGCTACCCTGACCCTGTGTAGCAGAGGCTGGTCTTGGGTGTCCATTCCTCCTGCCTCTACCTCCCCCACTCCAGTGCTGGAGTTACAGATCGGGAAGTTCATCAAGATGGGCTAGCACTTGAACAACACGCTCTTTCACCATTCACATCAAAGCCTACAGACACACGCAGGCTTTGGGGAGCAACCACATAGCATCCGTACAGCTCCCAGCCAGTTTCCGCCCATTCATCATTCCTGTCTGACTCAGTGGCCTCTCTGCCCCGATGGTCTGAGGTTCACAAGAGGGAAGAGTCCCAGGCTCACAACCAGAGTCTAGTCAGACCATTGTTCTGTCTCATCTTGGCTTTGTGCTGAGACATTACAGCGGGACTCCACCAGCTCCTCAGTGCAGGGGGGTGGTGTGCGCGCGTGTGCATGTGTTGGTGTGTGTGTGTGTGTGTGCATGTGTTTGTGTGTACACGTGTGTGTGTGGGGGGTACGTGCCTGTGTCTGTGTGGGTGCCTGTGCATGTATGAGGTGCATGTGTGAGGTGATCGTGGAGGGTGGGTGGGGAGACACTATGGCTGACTCCACCAGGAATTCACACCTGCTGGGCACTGGGAACATCCTAAACCCTAAGACTGCCCATATGCCCGCGTCTCAGGAGCCTGCTGTTCCCACGCTCCTAGCCACACAAGCTGCCAAGCTGTGTGAGCACTTGATCTCCCCGCCTACTGAGATACTCCAGTCCTGGGACCTGTCCCCCTCCAGGCCTTGTGAGCCTGCCCGCCCTTCCCATTCTGGGCTCACAGGCCTGGGCCAGCATTGGCAGCACCGGGAGACTTGGGAGTTTCTGGATAGTACACATGGAGCCCCCAAGTCCTCTCTTTAGGGGGTCAGAGGTACATCCTCAACTCCTGCCTTCTGCAGTAGTGGGTCTTTCCAGTCCCCCTGTGCCCTAAGAGCCGCTTGCTATGGGGGAGAGAGGTTGTCCCTCAGCTGTCGGGGAATGCCAGGGACCTGAGGGGTGGACAGTAAGGCAGCCAAGGCTCCACCCAGTAGAAGGCAGCATGCAGAGCCCCCAGGACAGAGACAAAGGGAAGGGAGGAATTTCTGGGTCCCTAGCATCCAAGGAACCAGAGGTTGGAGAAGTACTCCTGCATTATGGGGGTAGTCAGCTCAGGGTCGTGAGCCTGGGCCAGCTTTGGGGTGGTGGGGAAAGTCTGGGAGAGGTGGCTGGGGGTGATCTGGGGGCAGATAGAAGGTTCTGGAATGCAGAGCAGGGACTATCTTCCTTTCCCCCTGTCTGCCCGCAGCACCTGCTCCTGGAGGAGATGGACGAGATGGGGAACTGGCCTCCTCCAGAGTGAGGCCTCCGGCAGGAGCCCACTGTACCCACACCCCTGGGGCCCCAGTCCAACATGTGCCTCTTCTTGGGACACATCCAAGGAGTCCCTGGGCTTTGGGATGAGTAGCATCCTATGTGTGTGTGGTGGGCCTGCCCAGCAATGTCCCTGCACATCAGATTCCGATAGATGATGTTATTAATAAAAACTTAATTTAACATTAGCTTCCCGGGGCTGTCTGTCATTGGACCTTGTCCCTCTCCTCACTCCTGGAGCAAGCCAGGTTATTAGGGTCTCCGTCTAGCCCCTCATTGGTTCCTGCAGAGCACTAGTGTGGAGGCCACCTCTGGGCACAGGGTCAGGGAGGGCAGGAGGACCTGGGCTAACCTGGGGTTGCCGCCGGCCCGCAAGGAGAGTCCCCAGCTCCCCTCTGTCCCGAGCTCCCAGGCGACACTGTGTCCTCACCAGGAGGATCCGGGAATTCTCCCAGCAGGAAGTTCCTGCCCAGCCAGCTCAGGGACAAAGCCAGGAAAGGGGCCCTGAACTGTGTGGGGACCTGCTTCAGAAGAGCTGGCCGGGCGGGCTCCTGGGGAGCAGGCAAGGAAGGGCCCCCCGAAGTTGCCGTGGGTTGCAGTTTGCCTTTGTGGCGCTGTCATAAAAAGCGCGCTGGGGAGGAGGAGTTTGTTTCATCTCAGAGCTCACTCTCCATCGCGGGGAGAGAAGTCAGGACGAGGGGCTCAGGCAGGGACCCTGACGGACGCAGGAACGGAAGCAGAGACCACGGAAGGGCGGGGCTACGGACCCAGGAACGGAAGCAGAGACCACGGAGGGGCGGGGCTACGGTGTCTCGCCTCTGCTTTTCTCGGCTACCTTTTACTTTCTTTTAAGATTTATCTTAGGGGCTGGAGAGACGGCTCAGCGGTTAAGAGCACCGGCCAGCCGCTCTTCCAGAGGACCCTGGTTCAGTTCCCAGCACCCACACAGCCGCTCACAACCGCCTGCCTGTGACTCCAGTTCCGGGGCACCTGACGCCCATGGCAAAAACAACCAATGCACACTGAAAAAAAAAAGTTTGTTTTAAATCTTGTTCGTGTGTGCACACTCACGCATGCATTTGTATAGTATGTACCCCTGTGGAGAACAGGCGGCCGCAGGGTCCTGAAGCGGGTGTCAGACTCTGGAGCTGGAGTTAACAGTCACAAGCAGCCCCTGTGTGTTTGCTGGGAACCAAACTCCAGTCCCCCACGAAGGTAGTGTGAGCTCCCCGTTGCCGAGGCAGCTCCTGGGGCCCTCAGCTCCCTTCCTTATACAGCACAGAACCACCTGCCCAAGGCTCGCACTGCCCAAGGCTCGCACTGCCCACAGCTGGCTGGGCCCTCTGGCATCAATTAGCAATCTAGAAAATGTCCGGCGAGCACACCCACAGGCCGACCTGATGGAGGCGCTCCCTCATCCCTGTGACAGTACAGGAGGGTGTCTCTCCAGACTAGACAACCCCTGGCCATGGCGGGGCACTTCAGGGGTCTGGGGCAGGGTTAGGGTTAGACAACCCCTGGCCATGGCGGGGCACTTCAGGGGTCTGGGGCAGGGTTAGGGTTAGACAACCCCTGGCCATGGCGGGGCACTTCAGGGGTCCGGGGCAGGGGAGGCTTCAGGGGTGCCATGTGGCGGCTTCGGGAGAGGCCTGGAGCATAGAGACCCAGTGATTCCTAAATTCTGAGGTGGGGGGACTTGGGCACGTTGGGGTCTTCACCCTGGTTTCCTGGGACACCGGGAAGCGCTGTGGTCCAGGAGGTCCCTGTTCTCTCCGATTCTGAGCCTCCCTGCAGGCAGACAGAGAGAGCCTGTCCGGGGCCCACTCTGCAGAAAGTTGTCTACGTTACCCTCCCACGGCCCCACCTCCGGCTGGCCAGTGACAGAGCTGCAGGTCAGTATGAGCTGAGGATTGCTGTCTTCTGAGGCCGGTCTCAGGGAGCAAGCCTCTGAGTGCTGGGATTACAGGTGAGTGTCGCTCGCCGTTCCTGGCTCAGCCACGGCCACTCTGAAGAGTCACAGCGGTCAATCAGCAATCATAGCGGCCACGGTGAGGGGCCACGTCCATGGGGTGGTGGGACAGGGGGCAGATACTGCAGCAGTCACCGCAGCCCAGCCTGGCTCACTGAAGGTGGAACCCCATTCCCCATTTACCCCCAGCCGTCACTGTGGGGGAGGCGGGATCCCCATTTACTCCCAGCCGTCACTGTGGGGAAGGTAGGCTTGGAAACAACTAGGGACACTTTGGGGGCCAGGGGTTTCCTCCAAGGCTTCCTGGCCAGGGCCCACGGAGGCCTTGACTCAGAGCTGGAGGCTGGTGGAGGGCCAGCTGAGTTGAGTCAGCCAGGAGGCTGCCTTGTGACCAGATGACTCACCTGTGCCCTGATTGCTCAGTTAATCACTTCCTTCAGGTGGGGGGCTGATAGGAAGGGCGAGGCCTTGACTGGCAGCAGGGTTCGCAGGGGGCATACGGACCCCTGGGCAAAGGCTTGGCTCAGTGTCGGACGCTCTGTAGCTCGCTCCTCTCCTGCTCTGCCATGTCTGTGGGGTAGCCTCACGGCTGTCTCCCTGTAAGTCACAAAGACTGTGGGGCAGTGGCCCAGGTGCCGGTGCTGTCTGTCCAGGGGGTGGGAAGAGGGTGTGTGTGTGTGTGTTGGCACAGGCCTGAGGTCTCTTCCCAGCCCTGAGGGGTCCAGGGCTGGCTTCTGAGGGAGGCCTGGCTTGGTGTGCATGGTAATGATGGCAAGCATTCTGTAGGAGGAGCCGCTGTGGACCGGGGGTCTCTGGTAGTGAGCGGAACCCTGCAGACAGCCCTGGGTCCAACCCGGAGACTAGGGTGTCTCAGTTTGGTGTGAGATCCAGGAGGTCTTTAGGTGTCACTGTGCCGGCTCCACGGCTGCAATCGGATTTCGCCCAATCTGAAACCCATCTTCCAGGGTCTGCACACCAGACAGGGAGCACTCTCTGCTCCCTTCATTCACGTGAACCAGCGGGGATGGCAGTGCCCAGGTCAGGTTTGCAGCACCGGGCCTTTAGGGACAAGGGTGCTAAGTCTGTCACCCTGGGTTTCCCCGCCTCTGCCTCTCCCTGCTGGTGTCACACCGTTTCTGCCTGTGCTTGTCGCTGTGTGGGTCCTACGGGGTCCCCCCATGTCATGCCGCAAGGGTGGAAGAGTAAAGCAGCTCCCAAGTCTGCTACTGGGATGTCGTCCGAGGAGGCCTCAGGTGAGGGCACCGGGAGCGGGGGGCCCTGGTGGGTAGGCAGGAACCTCCAGGGGAGCTGTTGCCCCAGGCTCTGCCAGCCTCTCCTGGTGAGTGAGCAGCCACCAGCCCTCCATCTCCAACTGGAGAGGAGGGTGAGGTAAGAGTTGGGGAGGGGTCCAGGACATACCAGGGGGCTGGAAGCCACGTCCACTGTCACCAGCTCATGTGACTGCAGGTCACACACACACACACACACACACACACACACTGAATCTGTGTTATGTTCATGAGCGTGAAATGGACACACCACAGGTTCCTCACATAGTCTGGCGAATAGCAAAAAAGGATCCTGCTGCCTTACAGACCATCCTTAAAGAGCAGACACTGGTACCTCAGGCCTAGAGAGCTTGCCTACCACGCACAAGGCCCTGGGTTCCATCCGAGCACAACACAAGCTGAATGTCTGATAATAGTGGCCTTGGTGACGACCACCTCCTCTTTGGTGATGGTGGCCTTGGTGACGGTGGCCTTGGTGACCACCACCTCCTCTCTGGTGACGGTGGCCTTGGTGATGACCGCCTCCTCTTTGGTGACCTCTTAGGTGACGATGCCTATAATCCCAACACACTGGGAGGTGGAAGCCAGAGGATCAGAATTCCAAGGTCACCCTTGGATACACAGCAAGTTGAGGCCAGCCTGGGCTACCTGAGACCCTGTCTCCAAAACAAACAAATAGTATTTCAGGATGACAGTGCATCCCAGAAGGAGCCTCAGAGGAAACCATTAGCCAGCACCTGCCCCACCCCCACTCAGTGTCAGCCTCTGGGGAATGATCATAGCACAGAGCAAGGCCTCCCCTTTGGCTGGGCACAGGGGCGGGGCGCCCGCCTGCAGTCCCAGGAGCTGGAGGCCAGCCTGGGCTACCTGAGGCCCTGTCTCAGCCTCCTCCAAACAGATGAAATAGGTTGGGTTGCCTCTGGACAGTATGAAGTGGTGATGTAGTCCCCCGGGGGGTGTCCCCTGCCCCTGCAGAGTGTGGAACACAAGGCCTGGGTCGCGGGGTGCTGACTGGGAGGGTCCCGTGTGTATGCCCATAGCTGGAGTGGGCGGGGTGCAGGGCGCACAGCATCTCTGAGAAGTGTGAGCATAACTGCAGCCACCCAACCGTGCAGGTTACACTGTGGCTTCCGGTGCCCCAGGCACAGATGAGCACAGCCTGTCAGTGCAGACAGTGGGAGCTCCCGTCTGCAAAGGAAGTTTCCGGGCCAGAGTCCTGAGTCACAGACGGGAGCCCAGGGGACCAGCCACGGGGACCGTAAGTGACAGCACAGGGGTCCAGTCTGTGCCCCTGCCCTGGATTTGATGGCCGTGAACTGATCCTCCTGCCTCTGCCTCCCAAACGCTGGAGGGATGGGCAAGCATCGCCAAGGCCGGCTGCTTTCCCCGACCGCGTGGGAATTTGTCTTCTCAGTTCACCACGACAAGACTCCATCTGTCACCCTGAGTTACCCCAGGTTCCTCACCCTTTCGGCCTCCACTCTGTTGGGGCAATTCCCCACCCTTGGCTCCTGGGCTCTCAGGATCCACGATGGCCCAGGGCTGTTGATCTCCGGGGTGGGCACACAGGGCTGTTTCCGTGGCACGGTGGCAGGGTGGGTGGGTGGTCCTGGACCTCATCAGCAGAGGGTGGCATTCAGGGGGCGCAGGACAGGAGCGAATGGGGAGCCAGAGACGATGTCCATGGCGTTAACCACTTGGCTACTTACAGCAGCAGCCAGGCCTGGCAGTGCTGCCCAGGCCAACTTGAGTGACTCAGCTGGCGTCTTCCGGGCAGCAGGCACTGCAGAGGGCTGTAGTCAGGGGACTGACAGGGTGGGAGGCACAGCGGGAGGGAGCAGGGTGCGGCGCGGTGGTGCAGGTCTGTGATTCCAGCAGTCGGGAGGGTTAGGAGTTCAAGGTCATCCCCAGGAAAGCGGTGAGTTTGAGG